GATATTAGCTCAGGGCTGATCTTCCTCACAAAAAAAAGAGAGAGAGAGAGAGGAAAAAAAAAAAACAGGCATTTCTATACAGAAATTTAAGTGTCATTTCAATCCTGAACAAAGATATTTGGGGTTCCCTTCTAATATTGGGACCTTCAGTTGCTGGAGAATCAACATATGTGCTGTGTAGAGAAATATCAAGTCTAAGCTTTTCTTTTATCATTCAGCATTTATTGAGCACCAACTATGTGCCAAGCATTGAGCTAGCTGTGGAGGTGATGTTGTGTGCTGGTGGGGCTTCAAAGACAAATCCCTCAAATAATTTGCACTCTATGAGAGACACCAAGAAATAAAGGACAATTATAGTTCATTCTAATAATTGCTATGGTCGAGGTCAGCCCAGAGTACTGCACAAGCAGAGAAAAGGGGCATCCAATCTTGGGGGCTCGGGGAATAAGCCTTGGAAGGGATGACTTCTCAGCTGAAATCTGTAAGCTAAGCAAGAAGAGGCAGACAGGTAAAAAGTGGGTAAGGTGAGACATGACAGGGCAAGGCACCAGGAGGAAACAGTGAGGAATGCAGTATGCCTGCTGTAGAGTGTGAGGCAGAGTAGCCCAGCCCAGCTCTGGAAGGGCAGAATTGTGCAGGCATTTCTGTGCCAAGCTCAAAAATTGGAATTATATCCTGAGGGCAACTGAGAGTCACTAAAAGATTTTAAATGAGACAATAACATGAACAGATTTGTGTTTTTGAAAGATCACTCTGGCAGTAGGATAGACTGGAGACAGGAAGATTATACTGTGGGGCACCAGTAATAATCCAGGTAGGAAATGGATGGGTGGAGGTGGACAGAAGCAGATAGATTCAAGGAATGCTAAGAAGGTCAACTGAGCTTTTGATCATTGGATGTGTAGGATAAGAGAGAGGGCCATGCCTGGAATGACATCTAGGTTTTTGGCTTAAGTAACTGATTAGATGATGGTGCCATTAACTGAATGCCTAAAACAGAGTAGATGCTTGAACAGAGGACAAAGCATGGGGGCCAGGTTTGGAAGGAATAATTGGATATAACACATTTGAAGTGCTCGTGGGACATCCTGGTGAGAGAGCCTAGTAGACAGCTGGCTATATGCGTCTGAAGCTCAGGAGAGAGGTCTGGGCTAGAGACATCTTTCATGTGAAGACAGCTGTATATTGTGTGGTGCTGGCTAAGCATTAAGAGATGTTATCATGCAAATGTGATTATGTGATCATGGAATGGAGTGTGTTGTACAGAGTCAAAATGGCATCCCAGATAATGTCTCCTCCCCCTGCCAATCCTTGTCCATTCATAACAGGAAGAGGATTTGGAATCAGGGAAGAGTGGAGGGCCCAACTCTGCAATACACAGCCAGATGTCAAGTTTCCCACTTTAAGGGCACTGACACCTGTACCAGAGTCTGAGGTGTAGTTGCCAGTCTCCCTATTCAAACTGCAGTCTTCTTCATCTGAAAGCTGGGCACTGACTCCCACATCAGTGCTTGGACTTGACTCTCCCAGGCCCTCAGGCCGGGCCTTGATCTATGGGCACTGACCTTTGTTCACCTCCATACCTCACCTGATCATCTAGTGCATCCTGCTACTCTGCACAGAGTTCAGAATTCCTTTAGTGGAATCCTGGCCCCCATCCACCCCATTGTGACTCTGCCTACCCTGTACTTTCCACCAAGCCTCCCTGGTGTAATGAGGCCTCCCTGGTGTAATGAGGCACTGGCACTACAGGCTGCCAGGCTCAAGACAGAAGCAGCAAAGCCGAAAGCCACATCTGGACAGAGTTCAGACCCTGAGGGACCATGGGTAAGACAAGAAAGTTTTAAGCGACCTAGTCTGACAAGTAGGCACAGAATTGTGGATTGTGGCCCTGGAGAGTGTCAAAGACCAGAGGACACTAACTTTCTCATCCTCCTTATGGAACTTCAGGGTTATGCCTGGAATACCAGGTCTCTCTTCCTTCCTGAAGGAAGTTGCTCATTCACTTATTCAGTCAAGCAGTCTATGTTCTCTGCTCACCTATTTTGTGCCAGGCCCTGTGCTGGGACTAGAGATATAGATTAAAAGGCAGGAATACAAGTGAACAGTCCATTATAATGCATTGTACTGTGGTAAGAATAGCACACAGTGCCATGGAAGGCAAGAGGAGGGGCCCCTAGACAGACAGGGGAAGTCAGGGGCAACTTTTTGGTGAAGGTAACACTTCATTGCAGCCTTTAAATGGGAATAAAAGTCCTACAGCTGAAGGTCCCACTCCATGGGGACTCATACAGGATTCTTGGCTAGAAGTTGGGGTACTCTCAGCTCTCATGGAGGATGAGAAAATCTGAATAGGAAGTGCTCTCTGGTTCTCCTCCCACATTTACACCTACTCCTTTCTCCTGACCCTTGGAGAGCCATGGGCAGCCCCTCTCAAGTTCATAGAGGGCATTAGTTCAATAACACCAGGAACACAGAAGAGAAGTATGAAGGTGCCAGCCTGGAGAAGTGGGCCCTCCTCCTGGCCCCAGGGCTGCTCAATTCCTCCTCCTCTTCAGATCTCTTCAACAACCATGCTCCTTAGGAGCCAATCCCCGCCATCTACTCTACACCTGGCCAGTCATCTTCCCTTTCCCTCACCTTAGACACTTCAAGGAAACAAAGCAAAGTTGGGCTCTAATGTGGGGAAGGGAGGAGATGAGAATTCCCACAGTCACAGAGAACTCGGCGAGATTCATGTTCATCTCCAAACAAAATTTCATTTATCATCTTCCTGTTCAGAAATTGGAGACTGTCTTCAGTCATCTCTGACAGGCTGACGGAGATGTAGTGGATCGTAGGGTGGGAAGGGGACTGAAAACACTTGTGGGGTGATGAGAATACCTTGAGGAACAGAGAGTAAAGGGGTATGGATGGGGACTCATGGGTGGAGAGGAATACACCTGGGGGAGAGGTGAGCCCCCCACCCTGAGGAGATAGGTGGGAACACTTAGGGGGAGCTTAGGCTATTTTTCCTCCTCACTTTTCCTTATTATTCAATCCCTCCACACTCAGGCCTCTACATTGGCTGGCGCTGCCCCCATTATCTATGGGACTGTTTTCGGATTGGGGATGAGTCCAAGTGCTTTTGTGGACACTTGTTGAGAGAGCACCAGATCATTTCAGGTAGGGAGAACTGACCAGCCCCTGTCAGTGGGGAGGGATAACTTGTACTCTGTCATGTGTTGGGATGGATGAGAGGAAGTGTGTGTGTGTGGGTATGGGGGAAGAGGTTAGTATGGGGAGGCCAGACCCTATCAGGTGCTGGTCTAATCCTACCAACCATCCCCATTGCCCCCATGTAGACATATCCGTGCCCTGCAATGTGGGCCAGTGCCGCTGCCTCATGTTCTGTTTTATCCCATCATGCCCAGAGGAGGTGGGTGAGTTCTGGCTCAAAAGACGGGCCACTTTTGACCCCAAGGCCTGGAGAGCCCAATGTCGCTGTAAACACAGCCACGAAGACCACGCAGCTACCAGGTCCCATCCCTGTAGGGTTAAAGGTACCTTCTAGGGCAAGGAGGGTATGAGGGTGGGCATGGGTAGGGATAGGATGCAAATACCTTGGGGGCAAGGATGGGGGAGCTGGGAGGAGGGATGGGTTTGTGGTTGGTGAGGAAGAGATGAGAATGTAGTCAGCCCATGGGGAAGCCCCAATTCCCTATACTTTTCTTGGCGGCCCCCTTACCCTAGGCTGTTGCTGCAACTTCTTTGAGTCTAATTTCCTCTGTGCGGCCTGTGACCGGTGCTGGGAGGAACACGAGACTTTCTTTGAGACTAAGGAGACCCGGCGACAAGGAGGGAGGCCTCACGGTGAGGGGGCAACCTGGAACAGGGGGCCACTCTGGGGTCTGTAGTCAGAAGGTCAGGCAGGAAGGTGCTGCCACCCTCAACCATCCCATCCTGGAGTACCTCACTCCCTCACCCCCTGCATCCCATACCTGCACTGGTTTCCGCCCCCAGGAGCAGACTATGTGCCTTTTGCAGAGATGCCTACCCTCCAAGAAGCCATCATCAGCAACTCTGACTTCAAGACCCTACAGAAGCAGGGGCCCTCTGGCCGTCTCAGCTCCCAACCCTAGTTCCCCTGTGCTCCCTGGCCCACGCAGCCTCCGGCCTGGCCCTACATCTGACCCCTGCACCTGACCCTTTCACCTCTGCTCTTTCATCCTCCAGGAACAGACACTGTCAACACCTGGCACAGGCCTCTGTGAGCCTGGCCCAGATCAGCAATAAAAGGGAAGCCGCTGGGATCTGACCTGGCTCTGTATGGGGCAGATAGGGCCCAGCCCAGGGATAGACACTCCAGGACATTCAAGTCAGCACCTACTGGGGGCGAGGGAGAGCACCACGCAGGAGAGAGGCTGGATCCAGCCATCTGCCTCCACCACACCCACATTCAGCCTGCCAGCTCTGGCATCAGAAGGAGAGAGTGGCTTCAAGGGAGCCAAGGAGGGAGGGGTTTTCAAGAAGGATAGAGTGAGCAGTGATGTTAGATGCACCTGGGGGCTCCAGTAAGATAAAGACTGGAAAGTGTCCATTGGATTTTGCAATTAGAAGGCCTTTGGGGACGTCAGAGAGTGTGGTTTCAGTGGTGCAGTGGAGGCAGAAACCAAACAGCAGTGAACTTGAAGGAGTTTCTTTAAGAAGCTTGGATAAAAAGAGCAGGAGAGAAGTCAGACAATTTCCAGAGGGCGAAGTGGAGTCAAGGAAGCATTTTTTTAGGAAGGAAAAGGGGAAGGGGCCAGTAGAGAAAAATACCTTGAAGGATACAGAAGAGAAAGAGAGATGCCTGGTGAGACAAGACCCCAGAGATGGAGGGAGAGGATGAGGTCCAGGCAAAGGTGAAGGGGTTCGCTGTGCACAGGAGAAACACCATTTCCTAAGACCAAGAGGAAGGAAGGAAGAAAGGATGGGGCCTTTATGGAGCTGCAGGGAGCGGGATCTTGTGGAAGTTCCCCTGTGAAGTAGGAGACAAGGTCAGTTGCTGGTGAGGGAGGAAAGGGATAAGAGTGGGGAATAGGAGACAGGAAGAGAGGGGTGAAGGTTTGGGAAGACTAATGTGGGGAACTGGAGAAAAACCTGATCAGTGGGTAGTGGAGGATTCAGGTACAGTTGGAAGCAGGAACGCAGAGAAGCAGAGAAGCAAAATACTTAGATTAAGTGGTGATGGGAGGGTGTTGGGGAGGATGATCAGGAAAATAAGGTAAAAGAAGGCTTGAGGATGTGGAGGGAGCTGACCATACAAATAGGGAAAGAAAGCGAAGCCAGGAAGCAACTGACAAGTTGAAAAAAGGAGCAGTCAAAGGAATAGAAGTCTCTAATGAGGTCTAGTAGCAGATGTGGTGGCGGGAACTAAAGCACAGGAGGCAGTGGCCAGAGCTGCAGAGCACTGCAGCGTTCAGATGAGAGCAGCTGTGAGTGATCACAAGGGCTTGGAGTAAAGAAGACTGTGGGCCAGGGGCCAAAATCAGTGAATGTAGGTGAGTGACTAGGAAGCCCATAGATGATTCTTATGGGGAGTAGGAGATCCTGACACTAATGGGCTCTGTGAGCCTAGGGAAGTCACTTTCCCTCTCTGGGCCTTAGTTTCTGGATCTGTAAAATAGGAATAATCTCTGTGCTACCTGCTCTCTATGAGAACCCAAAGAAATAATCAAAGTGCCTTGTCCTCACCTAATCCTCCTGGCTGGTTTCCTTCCTCTTCCTAGGTCACAGCTCCTCTATCTCTTGCCCTTCTCGGGGGCAGCTCTAGGGGCTGCTGCTGTCCCAGGGGCATCGCAGAGAACTGCAGCCTCTGGGGCAAAGAGAAAAGGCCAGTCTACATTTCCTCATGTTTCGGGAGGTCGTCTATCCTTCGAAGGGAAGGAGTGCAACCTGGACTGCTGGAACTCCTGAGGGAAATTACAGGTTCAGTGTCTGCTCTGTGGAGGAGAATGGACTTTCTAATAATAATATGGCTATACAAAAGGGATCATTCCTCTCTCCGGAAGTAAAGAGTTCTTCATTCCTGGTTACATGCAATTAGCACCACGATGACCATGCACTAAAACTAATTCAATTAATAGTCAACAATAGAGGAATGGTTACTATGATAAACTCATTCAAGGAAGTATTATGCAGCCATTACAAAGTATATTTACATAGATTATGCACTAACATGGAAAACTGTAAGTGCAATAAGAATATGCAGCACATATGTATTATATATTATGAAAGGAAATGAAACACCAAATGTTATTCATTCCACAAATAATTATTGAGCACCTATATGTGTCAGGCCATGTGCTAAAAAAACCCTAAAGATACAGTGGTGACTTTTGTCCTGTGTGTTAAACGTCAGACTAAAACTTACCTGGTGTGAGTATATTAGCATTTTATGACCCTATGTTTCTTATGTCAAAAATATATATTCCAGCAGACCTAAGTAAACTTCTGACAGAGCCATGACGCATTTCCCTTGTCCTTCAAACCTGACTCACTGAAAATGCCAGGCACAGACCTGACCGTATCACACACCTTTTCTGATTAGGCAAGAACGCTGGATACACATTCCTTTGCTTATTAGTCGTGCGGCAAAGATAGGACACTCCCGCCCCGGCTCGTAAAGAAAAACGCAAAAAACGCCGTGAAAACAAACTGCAGAATCTTTCCTCTTGGGGTGAATGTGTTAACAAGAACATAAATCATGGAGGAATTGCCCTTAGATGAGTAAGTTAAAATCTTTGAAATGCTTAAGGGGCTGAAACTGCCCTTGTGGGGAAAACGCTGGGTATCTATCCCACCAGTTAAAAAAAGACCCCCTTCCACTTCACCGCCAGCCGCGGCAGTCTCGCGTCCTCCACCCGCCCCTGCCCTCTGGTACTCCTAAGGCCTTGGACTCCAGGTTAGCGGTTGTTCCTGGGCCAATCAGCGCCGAGAGCCCTCAGAACCCCGCCCTCCTCCTGCCCAATGCGGTGAAAGGGTCTGCAGTCTCAGAGCCGCCCTCGCCCCGCCCATCGGTGGGGCCAGCCCTGAGTGGGAGGAGCCACGAGAAAGCCCCGCCCACTCAGGAGCCGCGACCGAGGCGCGGCGGGTGTTGTGAGTCAGAGCCAATTGGAGGGCGTTCCTCTTTGGGTCCTTCGGTCCTGCCGCTGTAGTGAGAAATTACCTCAGAGCGAAACTAGCTCTGGCATCCCGCGGGACAGGGACTTGCACGCTGACTAGAGGACGAAGCCAGCGGAGTGGAGGAAGGGCCCTCGAGTTGGCGTCGGAAGCCAGTGGGATGAAAAGATCCTGGCGCTGCGGTGGCGGGGCGCCAGCGCAGCGGACTGTTCCACCGTCCGGGAGCAGGGCCGGCGCGCGGACCCCAGAGCGCCCCCCGGTGGGGCGGCAGCGCGCTCCCGGCCTGCGGAGCCAATGGCCGCGCTCGCCC